TGGGAATATAGCAATTGATACATTCACTCTGATAGGTTAATATATTTCCTTCAAACCATCTGAAATCAAACATAATTATTCATATTTATATATGATTATCAATTTCAACAAAACATATAAAGGGGATAATTCCCAACCAAATCTAGATATAAAACCCAAATAAAACAAATACTTTGCACATATAAAATCAGGTACCTAATACAAGCTGTAATTGAAAGTCAACAGCTTCAAATGATACTGATAATATGAAGTCCAGTTAACACCAAATCTTCTTGTCCTAATGCACTAAAAATATATTTCCATCAGTATATAATAGCATATAGAGATTTTATAAATGATACCTTTAAATTGAAATTTTGATTTTAAACAATCAGTACCAATTAAAATCAATAATTATTTTTGGCTTAATGGAGATTACCCTTGAAAATTCAAGCAAAAAGTAGATATCACAGCTAATTGCTACATAGTTTCCTCACTTAAATGATTGTCAACCCTTGCAAATTTCTACCAAAGTTAATTAAAGGGCAAATAGCTAAAACCTACAATTTGCACACCATAAAGAACCACTCTTAAGGTGAACCTAACATTTATTACCTTCATGTTCTAACACATGTGCCTATATAAAAATTAACACAAAATATTGACGCACTTTGGAACAATGGGTCTGGTAAATTCAATATGTTTACTGCCGTGGTACGAATTGAAACGTACCCAACACCACACCACTTAGGTTTCATTTCAAAATTATTGATATCACCATTTAGCAAAATACAATGTTACAAAAATCTTTCATACACTATTTTTGTAATAGACATACCGTATACAGACTGAGCGCTATTAGTTGGTGTGTAAGAGTTGAGTAATGTTAACAGTTTCTTTGCTATGGTAACTTTCTCATCCCAGCTGTGTACATACATCTTTACATATTTGACTGTGGGTCCTTAAGATATTTACAATATTGTTTCATAGAAAAATAGTTTTAACAAAGTTGTGGGTAGGGGACATCATGTTCAACTATTCTCAGTGCTTGATAGCCTGGCTGACTACAATAGCTCTACCTATTTTTCGAATAGTAGAGCTAAACAAGATTGCATTTGAGAAAAATGCTATGCCACCGCATTAATCCTTGTACCTTCAGACAATAAGATTTTTTGATTTTTTTACTATATGTTTATATTGAAAATCAATGACCCCCGGGGCAAAGGCAATTTTGACCCCATTGCTATAATTTAAACAATCTTGCTAGAAGTTCATTTTCATAATGTTTCATGCCAAAAATATCTAACCTCTAGCATTTGTCAATTACTAGAAGAAATTTTTTTTTAAAGTTTTTACTACAAGTTCATGTTTAAGTTTTTTTCCTATATACATATAAGGAAAAACCAATGACCCCCGGGGCGGGGCCGATTCTGATCCAGGGCTATAATTTGAATAATCTTTGTAGAGGTCTACCAGACAATGCCTTATGCAAAATTATCTAAGCTCTAGGCCTTTTGGGTCTTTTACAAGAAGGGTATTTTAAGTTTTTAAACTATATGTACATACAGTCGAGACTGTCATATGTGATTTCCAAGGGAATCTTCAGAAAAGGTCACATATGGACAGGGAGTCTCTAAATACAGTCTCAAAAAAATTAAATTTAAGTATCATCTAGCTTGTCTAATATACCATTGTGACTTAAAAGATCCTTTATGTTTGTGCTGAGTGTATACCACACTTGCAAAAAAATATATATAACTGTAGGATATAATTATGCAAATAAAACAACTTTTCAAACATCAATTAGAATATGTAAAATGTGTACTGAAAAATAAACTGTGCACATTATATTTAATCAATAAATTACTATGAATTGATTACTTATTGGAAAATTTAACTTAGAAATTTATAGAAAATAAAGTTCTAATTACCGTTTAAATGGCCTTTAATTTATATTAAATGTTAAATTGCTGATATCTTTATAAATAATGCTTATTTGAACTTACAATATCGACAAATCTTAATTTGAGCATCATATTTATTAAAATAAACCATGAAAAATTGGGTGTTACAGGATCTTTCAAATATATATATCCAAAGCTTTTTCTGGTTTAGAATTATATATTTTTTCCGTATTAATTATGCAGTCATGAATGGTAATAAAAAAAAATATGCTGCCTAAAAAATCTTCCGTGGCACTCTATAATTAAAAAAAAATCTAACACAAGTCTTAAAACCAGTTTCTCGGGCCATAATGTACCTTTAACACACGTCGATTGCCCCTGTTTCCAAAAACGCTCAAATTGTTACTGTTTTAAATACATTTTTAATTGGGGAATTAAAGTTAAAAGGTGTGTGGGACTTTGTTTGGTTTTTACTGGATTATAATTGGACTTAGTTTTTAGGGCCCCTCGGGGTGTTATAACGGTATTATTTTTTTTTGATTAAAGGGAAAATTTAAAGGTGTAAAAGTCGTTAAATCAGCCCAAATTTGCTTTGGGGACTGAAAATTGGGGTCGCTTGTCAATATGACGGGGGAGTCTTTTAAAATTCGCCCTTTTTAATATATAAATACTTTGGGGAAAGGACTAAAAAAGGTGGTAAGACAGGGATTTCTTTTAAAATCGGGGGTCGCAAGGGGCAGTTCGACTGTATAGGGTGAAAATCAATGACCCCGGGGGCGGGCCGATTTTGACCCCAGGGCTATAATTTGAACAATCATGGTAATGGTCTACCAGACAATGCCTTATGCAAAATATCTAAGCTCTAGGCCTTTTGGGTCTTTACAAGAAGGTATTTTAAGGTTTTGCTATATGTACATATAGTGAAAATCAATGACCCCCGGGGCGGGCCCGATTTTGACCCCAGGCTATAATTTGAACAATCTTGGTAGAGGTCTACCAGACAATGCCTTATGCAAAATATCTAAGCTCTAGGCCTTTTGGTTCTTTACAAGAAGATTTTTTAAATTTATTCTTATAATTCCTTTTGGTTGCCATGGCAACCAGATTTCTGCATGGAATGAAATTCTTTCAACAACTTTGGAAGCCCTTCACCCAAGGATCAATCCTGCCAAGTTTGGTTTGAAATTGGACTCAGTGGTTTTTCACAAGAAGATTTTTTAAGTTCACTATATAATCTATATAACACACACACACACACACACACACACAAACAAACACACACACAGGTGAATCGCTATATGCCACCGCATCGCAGATGCTGCGGTGGCATAAAAAATCTTCAAAATCTAAATTTTCGGTATATACCTAAAACCTTTCCTATGACAAAATCTGAGACATGAGATTTTTTTCACCAGATTATATATTCATCCTCCACATTCAGCAGTGTTTATTTCTCTCCATATGTAACTTAGTAATCTCTTTCAAGGCTTACACTCATATCTCAACATGAACGTACAAGTGAAGAAAAACTTACCTTTCTTTTGTTCAACATATGTTCTGGCATTTTTGAGAACTTGTAGTAATAATGACAGCAGATCTACAATATCCCCTGTAACATGACATGCTGTAGCCTCATGATACATCACATGTAGAGTGATGAATGCCTGTATATATATAAAACATTACAAGTATTGTTCTATGTTTATATCTACATGTAATTAGTTTCACAATAACTTTTTTTTTCAAGCAAGTATATAGAATTTACAATTTTAAAAAACAACAACAATACATGAAAAAATGCATGTAAAGGGATGAGAACCATAAAATTATACTTAAGACTTATTCTAAAAACAGACTTAAATAAATAATTTACACTGGTAAATAACAAATAATTTACACTTGTAAATAGCAGTATTTTCTTACATAATCTTCATAATGATATAAGCTTAAAGCCTACAAGTGTACTTCATGTCAAGTTTATCAAATATTCCTCTATTTTATCTTGTAACAACAAAAAAGTTACAAACATAGTTTCTATGACAATCGGAATAGAATGGATAACAATTTATTAACAAGGACATACCTCTCCCAACATTTGAAGTCCCTTGTTGAACAATACAATCAATCTGTCTGTCTCTGTGTCTACCAAAATCTTCAGAGCTCTGTAAATAAATAAACATTAAATACAGAGAACTCAAAAAGAGCCATAGACAATCTCTTCATCAGTGAAATAAATTTCATATCAATAGTCATCAAAATCCAATTTCCAATTTATTTAGTTCTTGAAACAAAGTTGTAATAAATATTTGTATCTATTCTTTAATGTCAGGAATATTTTCATATTTATTAAGTCACACAGGTACACTGACTTGAGGAGTTAGGCCTCAGGTGCTTATATTCACATTTATTCAGGTATCAGAAAGCACATTTTCTTCACATTGAAGAATAATACATCTCTGGTGGTATTCAAGACCCTAAATAGTGAGAAGCAAGTGATCAGATGTCAGCAAACATTATCAGAACAGAACAGAACAGAACATGAATTTTATTTTAGATTTGAGCATTTCGCTCCTCATCCATAACATAATTATACATTATTATGTCAAAGTCAAACAACATAATGATATAACACAATATTGAAAATGACAGTATCTGTGGTACAAATGACAAAAGAAGGTATAGAATATGTATTCAGTATCATTTAACATGAAAATCTTAACGTACATGACAATTAAATTTGAGCAATTATTTATTTATTATATATTTATTAATTATTTATTGTAAAAGATTATGCCTAATTCTTAATGCACAATTTAGGAAAACAAACTAAAATTATTCAACATTTTTTTTCATTTTCTGGTTGACAACAACGGGTAAGTTTAAAACATAGAGGTCTTTTCATAATAATATTTATCAATGTAACGTTTTCTTATAATCTGTAGCAGGGACACACACAAATCATATGGAATTTCATCCTCAATGTCTCTGGGATTGACGATACATTGCATGTTCTTTCGCCTCTTGTCAATTCTATTTTGACCATATCGCCCCGGTTTTAATCCTAAGGCAATGTTGCAGATATTCCTAAACTTGGTAATAACTGATCTATAATTTTTCTACTTAAAATACTCAAATACTCAGCATATTCAATATGGTGCTTTAAATGTTTATATAAATGTAATACTTGATTGCTCTCTAAATCGCTACTCCAATTCTGTGTGAATGTATCAATCAGTCTTTGTCTGAACAGAGTTATAAAAGTGGTTCACATTTACTGTTAACGGGGTGTTTCAAACACGTATCAAAGCCATTTCATATAATAACTTCTTTACTTTTGAAACCCAGTTAATCTTATTATTACATAAATCCTCTAATAACAGTTCATATACTTTACTTATTATACAATTATTAGAATTTGTGATCTTAAGAAAATACTTGACTATTTTAACATATCTGTTTACATAACAACGGATATCGTCCTGATTCCTAATTCTCCATATATAGCTACACTACTGGACGATAATTTTACATTTAGAATTCTTTTGCAAAATTTTTAGATGTATTCCTTTCAATGTCTTTGTTTTTAGTAAATCCCCAAACTTCAGAAGAAAAAGCTAACTTAAAATTGAGGAAACAAATGAATCAAATAAACTCAACATTGTCTTTGGGTAAATTCAAAGTCCTTAGTATTATTCATTAAACAGTTCATAGCTTTAAGCTGCTTTGCCGACGAGCATCTGTGTATATATAGTTAAAATTGCCATTTGAGTCAAATACCACACCTAAATAGTTGAAATTCGTTAACAATAGCTAAATTTGTGTCATTGTAAGTCCATTTTTCATTTTCACGCAACGGTCCACGCTTTCTAAAAACCATAACTTTGGTTTTATTCAATGTTAACGGTTAATCCCCATCGCCTACAGTATGTGAGCAAGTCATCTAAACTTTGTTGTAATCCTTCTACAGTGTCCGAAAATAGTACCATATCGTCTGCGTATAAAAACAGCACCAGAGTCAAATCATCAAAAATTTAAGCCACTTTCTGGTCTCGAACCAATGTACAACTCTAGATCTTCAATAAACATAGACCACAATAACGGTGAACATATCTCTCCCTGTTTTAGGCCCACTGCTATTTCCATGAAGTCCGAGAATTCGTTTCCATGACGTACTCTACATTTCACTTGCTCATACATTGATCTTATGACCCTGAGCAATTTACCGTTTTATTCCCAGTTTTGACATTTTGAACCACAATGCGTTCCGGTATACACTATCAAAACATTTTTTTGCATATCTATAAAGGTAGTGTAGAGGCGTGTACCATTATTTAACATGTGATTAACTATACTGTGTAGGCAAAATATCGCATCAGTGGTTGATATCCTTTCTTAAATCCAAATTGTGAATCTGATATTATGTTATGTCTATCACTCCAGTCTGACATTCTCTTATTTAATATTGATGTGAATATTTTCGACATAGAACTAACTAGTGTTATTCCCCTATAATTATCGACAATACTAGCATCTCCTTTTTTAAACACTGGTATAATGATTCCTTCCATCCATGCATTTGGAAAATGTCCAGTCGATAGTATATAACATTGAAAATATCCCGTAGATGCCCGCATATGATGTCACATGTTTCAATAAAATATTCATTTATGAGGTCATCACTCCCACCTGCCTTGCCTCGTTTCAAAACAACTAATTGCATGTCGCACTTCATCAATTGTAATTACAGAATCTAAATTCCGCGAAATAGGGTCATCATAACAATATTGGTTATTGCAGTAATTCTCACTTTCTGGATCAGTAGTAGTGTTAATGCTATCTGATAAATTCCTAAAAATAGTCATAGAATTCTTGCACAGATATGTTTTCGTTCAGTTGTGTTTTTTTCTTTGAAAAAAATATTTCCAGAAATCGCACGGCCTTTTACTTTTAAGTGCTTCAATTTCTCGCATCTTTATAAGTTTACTCCTATTGCGCTTTACTTTTATCAAAGATTATATTGTCTCTTTTTTAACATTAACTGGTGTCTATTTTTCATTTGTCTTCACTTCATTAAATAATCGTAATGCTTCCAAATACTCTAACTTTCTTTCTCTGCACGAGTCATCAAACCAATCTGATTTTTTCATCACTTTTGTAGTATCAAATTGTATATTTTGTTTTCGCATGGTTAATTCCTTGTGAAACAATGGCTTTGCCTCTTCGTTTATTATTTGTTCGCGAATCTGTCAACCATTTCATTTACTTTGATGTTATCAAATAACTTCCTCCTCTGAATAGCTTATTAAATTGTTTAATTCAGGCAATCTGCCAATCAATCTTCTTCTAAAAAGTATCTCTTTTATCTGCAGACCATTTCGTTGACTGTAAAGATTTTAAATTGCTATCATCTCGTGTTATAGTGTTGATTGAAATAGTAAATTCTATAATTGCATGGTCTGAAAATATATTAAAATCAGAAATATTAAACGTTTTAATATATTTAAAATTGCACTGTTTTAGCAAGAAGGTAATCTATAACAGTACTCCCATTGTATCCACAATATGTATACGGTCCTGTCGATTCTAATCGACCGTTACATATTCTTAAAACCGGTCGCTTTGCACATGTCTAATAACTGTAAACCGTAAGAATTAAACTGTGTATCCATAGACGTGCGATCAAGCGGGATGTCTGGCACGTAGTCATCTCCGTCCAAAATTGAGTTCATTCTGTCATATTCGATAAAATCCGGTTTAAGTCCAATTCGGCTATTCATATCTCCAGAAACCAATACCGTTCCTCGTTGACTAAAAAAGCTTATATCATTTTCTAAAATGTCAAATAAATTTTGATTACATACATTATAAGCAGGCGAATCTTGTCCCCATATATAAGTGGCACATAGATATATGTCTTTATCTAACATAAAGAATGATTTATCCAGCTTTTATCCATATGATTGTGTCAAAGTGATTTCTAATAATTGAAATTCCTTTCGCTATATAGTCTCTGTAAAACAACATAATACCACCACTACTTCGACGTGCATTTCTGTGTTGAAATTTGCGATAGAAATTGTGCGATGCATATCCTTTCAATTTTATATTTACTATCTTTAGATGTCCATGATTCTAGAAGAAAAATAATATCATATTTACATACTATATTTACAGAAGTCTTCGTCCTCTTGTTTCTCTTTAGATAAGCCATTACAATTCCATACGGCAATCGAAACTACACCTTCTTGTAATTCCTACGGTACCGTCCCATAAGGACCATCTGTATATACTTTACCATCCACGATAAGTTTGTTATATTTGATATATGCTTCCTTTTTTGCCTCTCGAGCCCTTTTCATAATTGGAACAAGTAATTTCCTTTGTGAAACAACTTCCGGCGGATATTGATCATGCATGAATAGTCCAGATTCTCTAGGATTGACATTATCTTTGAATGATTTTACGTAGTTTTTTGTCTTAAGGTTGTTGAAAGTAACTAATACATTATCACTCAACCATAGAGTTCTTGTCCTATGATGTTTTAAAATCATTAAACTTACCCTGATATTTAATGAAATTTTCTTGATCTAAAATACAATTAAACCTCTGCAGAGCAACATCCTTTGAAAGGCAGAGACTTTGTTGCAAAGAGGTGTTGCTATAGAGAGATTAAATCTGTTGCGAAGTCTTATGTTAGGAAAAATTGAAACTGTTTTTGTAAAGATGTATTTGCTTTACAGACAGTCGCTCTGCAGAGATTGCATTGTAGGTATCAAAGATAACATATCATTTTAAGAATCTTTAGTTATCACACACAAAGTTTCACATATGTTACTCCTCAATGATTAATCAATCATACAATACTATGTCTTGTCAATCAATCATACATACCCTATCAGTGTCTGCCAGCCTGATCGTGCCTCTAGATTCTGTAGATAAAGTTGTATAGTGTTACGTCGGAAACTGTTGATGGCCTTGATTTCCTCATCAGTACAGTCCTGGTATTTGGTCGCCATCAGTCTCATCATCTTAAACAACTCATCCACAGCCTGTGTAACATAGCATATCTTATATACCATTTATAATTCGATAACAATGAATATTTTTTATTAATTTTATAAATTGTGAATGTTCTTAAAAGTGGATTCAAACCCACACCTGTGAGAAAAAACAACACTTTTTTAAGGTTCCCATAAAGATTGAATTATTATAGTATTTTTTCATACCGATATGATTTAATTTATTTTGAACCGTTTTTAAAACATACACATGTAATTTAAATAATTGAAAAATACGAAGACAAAATCAATAACATTGATAACACTTTAAAAGGCATATATTTTTATATTGAGTTCTCAATGGAATTTTAAAAAGAACACTTAAAAAGACTTGTGAACAAACTATTTCATTTTTCATCCACATTAAAATACATTTTTAAAAACAATACATTACCCCTGGATATTGGCAGGATAAGGGGTGATATTTTTGAAAGCCCACAGTATATTTTGATGCTGGGCCAGTTGTCGTGTGAAGTTCCTTGATTGCTGACAACACATTCGTAACAAACCATAGTACGCTGGTAAAGTCATACGATTAAACATCATCACATCCTGGTCCTCATGATCGGCACTGAAATGTTAAACTTCGATAAAAATTTTGTACACACAGACAGAGATCTGCCGAGGAGGCGATTTTGAGCCATTGGCGCTAAAAAATGAGAATGGCGCAGGAAAATCGGCAGCAAAGGGCCATGGGCACATCTAAAATCTGTGCCAGACTTATAAGAAAACAAAACTGTCCGTTGGGTAATTTAGTCATACAGTCAAAACTGGTACTTACAGCAACATGTTACCCATTCCCCTGTAATTACCATGATTACGCATATTCTTGAGTTTGTCAATTCCCCTATAGCTTTTGTCCATGTTATCTACTTACCGCATTTCTTCTTATAATCCCTTTCCCACACAGATACTCATTTCTACTACGTAAATTTAATCCAATAAAACAAACAAACAAATTATACAACTACTTAATATTTACAATGATTATCGATAACTGAAAAAAAAGTGTTGCTATTTTAAGAAATGCTGTAAGTTACAGTATAATCTGACAGGTGTAAAACTTGATCACCCCTAAGGTCACTCAAGTTCATGCAAGCTTTGGCTGATTTAGTGTAAAAAAAGATGTCTACTTCGTCATCAGAATATTTGACAGGGTGAATAACCAATCAGGGAAACATTTTGCATGACTTTTTTCATGATCAAAACGTCTGTCGGCAAGTGTCTTTGATGTATGCTATCTACACAGAGGCATACAAGGGGGAATAAAATTCGTTACGTCAATATACAGTGGTTAGGGACATTTGGTGCAAGTAGCCTGTAGGAACAATTAAATGGATAATGCACATTATTAGACATTAGAAGTAAGAACCAGCAATTATGTAAATAAATTTGCATATCAAATTTTTGAGCAGCCATTTGAAAAAATATTTTGCTTGCAATTAATATATATTAGTTAGAAAGTTACCATTTTAATTATTCGTAAGTGAACCACTTGTCATAAAATATGATGTAAGTTTTATTACCAGGGAAATTCAATTATCTACAAACTTTTTAACAATTATTTCGGTCAATGTTTACTTATTTTCCCAAGGCCCATACTTTGGTAAAAATGGCCCATTATTTTCAGACCAAGTGGGCCCAGGGCCCAGTACTTTCAAATTCTTGGCAGATCTCTGCACAGAGCAAAAAATTAGTTACCAACATGGCCAAAGCATACCAGAACAAGGACATCCAACTATTCAAAGAAAGCACTCACAATAAGGTTGATAAATGTGAATAATAAAAGTCGTGGTCAATTTTTTTTTGTGTCAGCCTCTCATTACATTGATAAAGCCTACTCAGGTCAATGTCACAATTTCTAAATTGACAGCGGTACAAGTTAGTTCAAGGAACACACTCCAAAGTGATTTATTTCAATTGTAAGACACTAGTTTGACAATCAAGCTGAAATGGAGATGTTGCCACTAAATTAATTTATATGAAGATTGGATCTAAAAACATATATGATGATTTTGTGACACAAAATTAGACCATAAAACGTTAATTTCAAAGTACAATTGTAATAAACAAATCATTGAACAGGCAATAGTACAAAGTCTTATTAAACATATTGTTTTGGTTCACCTCTTTCTATATTCCAGCATAAACTTATAAATAATTTATTTTGATAGAAAAGAAGGAAATAAATAGTTCAAAGCTTCACTAATCTGCTTGTGCTTTAGTTTGGTTTTTACAGGGCACCAACACAATTTTAGGTAATATGGCACCGAAAACAGGGAAAAATGATTTTGGCTAACCCGAGGGTAAATAAATTAAAGCAAACCAGATGTCAACACTACCTAACCTAACCTGCTGGAGCTAAGAGATGATTATACTCCTGTAATTCTAACCATTAAGTTGCTTCTTACGATCATGCAGGGAAAAAACAGTGGCTGCAATTCTAATGCCTCAAGCCTTAAAGGCAAAACCTAAGCCACAAAAAGAGGGAAGCTGCATGTGATAAATGTAATAAAGTAATACTTACAGTATGTAGGTGAAGGGTATATGTTTACACACATGTGGATTGTGAACGATCAATTTCACATTCTCTGGACATTCTACACAAGCTTGGTACCAGAACAACAATAATGCCTGTAAAACAAATAAACAAACTTTTGTGAAAATGGGTATCAGAGAACTGAGGTCTAATTTGAGAAACATTTTCTTACCAAAAGTTTAATCTTATTAAAGAAAACTTGAAAAATGTTTGAGGAAACAATAACTAGCGAAGGTATAAAATACATCAAATATGGTATATTATGGTCAACTTTATTGGTTATAGGGCATTATGTACCTTTTAACTTTCATTACGAACCATAATTCTAGACTAAAGATCAAAAATTGTATTTTATTAAGGACAAATATCTCACCTGTTTATTGTGATGCATTGAGATCTGGGGTTCTGACAATTTGGGCTGAAATAGTGCCCACAAGTCACTGAAATGATGTCCAAACTGAAAACAACAAACAAGAGTACAGTCCACTTAGTGAATAGAAAGAAAATATATCCGGTAAAGACAACATTTCTACCACTTTAAATTTTAACATTGTATTCAATACATACAGGAAATACTTAATTAACAAGATTTGTATAACTGACATCTTGATTTCTTCTTATGAGAATTTCTCATGAACTCTGATCATAAAATACTGTTAGAAATAATAAATGCAATATACAACACCTAAGATCATTAATCAAATGCTGTTTAAAAACAACAATTTTTCTCTTATATTTATATAGTAGATTAGTATAAACTTTATAGTTGATTACCATGAGTTTTCCTGCTTAGATACCAAACAGAACTGTAGTACTGTGAAATAACAGATGAGTTTAGTGGTCCCCTGTGTTTGAGGGTCAACATACAGTCGACACCGTGGTAACAGACTTAGCAAATGCTCGTATACTTTGTGTAACACCATCAATGCCTCACTGCTCATCTGTAAACACAATTGATAAGTGTTATTGACCTCAGATGTACAATAACAACAACAACAAAAACAATGATAATACATATCAATAATCTTCAAAATTAAAATAGGAAATCATTTCTAACCATACAATCATTGTAGAATGGAAACTATATGTTTAATCTATAAAATGCTTTTCAAAGTCTTAGCAACAACTCATTAATGTTTCTTAGCAACAAGTCATTAATGTTTATACAAATTGTTAAATTGTTAACACATTGGTAAAGACATTTCATATACAATTGCTTCCCCCCACCCCACCAGTATTGATTTGAATCTTGCTATAAATGTTTATAGCATTGGGATATTACATAAGAGTAAACAATCGAGCTACATAATGAGTTTACAGAGATTCTGAGCACTAGCTAATGCTAGGAATTATTAATTCATATCTACATTTTTAGACTGGAAAGTCATTTAATTATATATGAACTCAGGAATATCAAAAAAAGCTAACCAAATAGAAATATTAAGTACTAGAAGATACTTACTGGGATTTCTTTGTGTGGACTAAGAACACTTCTAGATGTTCTGTACATTTGTCTAAAATGTGTACTGGGAACCAGGGATATAACAAGGGCACCAGCAGCTACAATACAGTATATGTATTTTATTAGACCAAAACCAGAACATTTAGTGACTAACATTTCTAAACCACCACTCTTTGAATTTATGTATCTTTTTTATTAAAACACATCTTAAACTTATGATTTATTGAACATAACCATTACTTGATTGAATGTATAATCTAGTTTTTTTCATTTTATAAAATTTGGGCACTACAAGCATTTACCATACCAACAAATCAAAAATTCTAAGAAATATTAGGAAAAAAGTGGTGATTTAGAAGTATACATACATGCCTGTATCAGAACAAAGTCTGTTCATCATAATTTTTGGCAGACTTCAGGTATTAAGATGCTGCATTGTTTATGTATGATGATTTAAAAAAAATAACTGCAAGCAATTCTTAATAAGAGTTTCTGTTTCTATGCCAGAACTATAAAAATCTCCACAAAATCACAAAATGAGACAAAAGATGAAAATGTCAAAGTATCAATTGTGAGGGCCTAAGGCTTAGACATTATAACTTCACTGCAAGCATAACCTTTTTTTTATTACAATGTTTCTTAAATACTTTCTATTATTAAAACAAGAAATGTGTCCATAGGACACGGGTGCCCCCACCGCCCCC